GCGCGCCCCGGGCCGGCTGCGGGCCGCCGGGCGAGCGCAGCTTTAGGCGCAGCACTGGGAACGTGCAATGGATAGACACCGGGGACAGGGGCGTCCTCCTGAGCCCAGGGTCACAGCCCGGGGGGGGGGCGGGGGGGAGGGGGACGGTGCCAGTGCAAGATCCCTTTTTCCCGGGTCACTGCGGACCTTCCACCTACTGTTCCAAAGGGACGTTTTATGGATAAAAACAAAAAGTTCCAAGGCACGATCCTGTGTCCAAAAAGGGCTTCCTTGCTTTTCCTGCTTAAGGAGCACAGAGAACCCGGAGCGTTCCGGCGGCTGTTGGTTTCGTTTGGGTCGAGTGCTCCTTTCACCGGAGACCTCCTGGGTGGCGCACGGCCAGGGGCTGACTTTAGACTCTGCTGGTGAAAACAATCCTGTACAGGCCCCAGGGAGCCCTGGACTCTGCTCTCCTGCCGTTTTTCGGGGTTGGGCCCCTCGCTTTCCCTTCTCCGGACCTTGATTTCCCCTTGGGGGGGAGGGTGGTTCTTTAAAGTCCCTTTGGTTCTGATCCCCCCCACTGACTTCCTTTTTAGGAAACAATTTTTGGTGCATTTCGGGGACAAAGAGAGGACTGTGACTATCAGATTTCCCGCAAACTTCCTACACTTGCCGTAAATTACCCGTATCAGCCATGGCCTCACATCTTTTACTGTTCTTTAGAGAACGAACATTCTGGAACTTCTCCCTATCCTGTTCTCCCTGTGCTCACGGCGTCTACCTAGCATATTGTAAAAGCGTCCTCCTCCTTCCCATTTTTGCCCTTGTTCCCTGGGGCGGGCACTCGCTGAGCCCATTTTGGGCACAAAGCCCACCACGAGAGGAGAAATGGGGCAGGCCCAGAAGTGCTAGGTTGCTTACATACCCCCATCCCCAGCAGCAGTCCCCTATCCATGAGGGACAAGAGTTGGTAGGTAGTGCCCAGGGCCCCTCAGGCCTCCCGTGCATCTGCAGGGAGGCATATATCCTACACTGTGATTCAGTGGTCGGCTGCAGAAAAAGAGTTCCAGTTGTCACAGCTGTAACCTGCTCACTAATGCACCTTCTCTTGTTGGATTCTTTCCTTTCCCTGGTTTACTGTCCCACTCCTCTACAGATGTGTCCTAGGATCTGTGGGAGATCAAAATTGGCCACCCTGAAATAGGTCTCTTTACCTTGATTATTTTCTCTGACGGACATTTGACCTCCCCCAAACTGCCTAAAGGAATTTAACTTTGGGTATGGACAGCCTGGCAGGGTCCTCACTAAGCCCATTCTTATCAAAGTTTTGTTTACCAAACATTTACATTTGTAAAGGTATCTCCCTCTGTGTACTGGGAAGGGGGGGGGGATGACCTTATCTCTGGAAACTTTTCAGTACAGAAGGAGAGGACTTAAATCTGCATACTCTTGTTTACTGTGCTTTTCTGGTAATCTACCATAACTGACTCCCCCCACCCCCAACATTCTCCTTTGTCTTTAGCTGAAGATAGTATTTAAGATGAGAACCTCCACCATTGTGTTGAGAAACTCAGTTTCCCTGGTTCCTCCCATGTATACGTTATTAAACTTGGTCTTATTTTCTCCTGCTAACCTGTCTTTTTAATTATTTGGCCAGCCATAAGAACCTTAAGGGAAAGGGTGGAGGGGGGTTCTCCCTCTTCCCCAACAGATCACTTGCCAAATAAACGACTTGCTCTCAAATCCTTGTTCCAGGGCCACATTTTTGGGGAACTCAAGCCAAAACATTGTATCTACTGGTCTTCACAGCCAATCATCTTAAAAGTGACATCCACTTTCACCACGCCCATTTGTCTCCACTCACGCACTCTCCGGCACCACCCTCTCACTCAACTCGTCTGGCACCACCCACTCACCCCTGCAAATTGGCGTCTCATCTCTGCTGCCCCACAGTCATGGATTTCAGGAATATCAGTGACCTCTGAATTTCCAAATCCAGGTGTCACTCTTCTCCTTGTTTTCACTTACATTCTGCAGTGAACACCATTTGTGTTTGTTTTGTTTTCATTTTTTGTGTGTGTGTGTGGGGAAGATCAGCCCTGAGCTAACATCTGCCAATCCTCCTCTTTTTGCTGAGGAAGACTGGCCCTGGGCTAACATCCATGCCCATCTTCCTCCACTTTATATGGGACGCCGCCACAGCATGGCTTGCCAAGTGGTGTGTCGGTGCACGCCCCGGATGCAAACTGGGGAACCCCGGGCCGCTGCAGCGGAGCGCGCACACCCAACCACTTGCGCCACCGGGCCGGCCCCCTGTTTTGTTTTAGTTTTTGTACAGCACCACTTATCCCCTTTTCTTGATAGTAGAACAGATCTTTCCCCTTGGAACCCATTTTATGTGGCTGTGGTGGGATTGACACTGTCCATTATGGGCACAGGCAGATGAATATCCAAGCTTGGCCCGACAGGACTACTCCATCCCTTTTGCCATTGGTAAAACATAGGAAAGTGATTCAAATTTGGCCAATCTGATTCTCTCTGGGATTTTTCTACCAGAGCTATGGCGAAAGACTTTTTTTTCCAAGTGGAGTTGCTTAGCTGGAAGATTGTGTGGGCCAGTGTGCAGCTTTCTTACTACCTTACAGAGGGAGGACCCTGTCTAAGAATTCAGCTTCCCAGCCCACTTTGCAATAGGCCTGGCCATGTGGCCATGTGAATATGTTCTTGCCAACATAATATAAACGAAGTGATGTGCGTCTCTTCCTTAGAATTTGGGCATTCCATCTCCTTTTTCTCCTGGAGGTAGGACATACAGTCAGTAACAGTAGTAGAACAGATGTAAGAAATTTACCAAGACTTGTATGCTGGGTCATAAAGCAAACCTCAACAAATTTCAAAGGATTGAAATAATTCTGAGCATTTTCTCTGACCGCAGTGGAACTAAGCTGCTTGGAAATTAAGTAATACACTTCTAAATAGCCCCTGAGTCAATGAAGAAATCACAACAGTGTGAGAAAATATTTTCTTACTGAATGACAATAAAGATATGGTATATCAAAACTGGTAGAATACAGCAAAAGCTATGCTTAGATGGAAATTTACACCTTAAAGTACATATGTTAGAAAAAGAAGAAAGATTGAAAATCAACTAGCTAAGCTTCCATCTCATGAAAGTAGAAAAAAATAACAAATCAAACCCAAAGTAAGTGGAAGGAAAGAGAATAAGAGAAGTAGCCAAGGAAATAGAAAACAAATGTACAGTAAAGAACTCAACAAGACCAAAAGGAAGTTTCTAAATTTTTAAAGACAATTTAAATTGTTAAGCATTCAAGACACACAAAGAAAAATGAAAGGAATCACAAATAACCAACATCAAAATGAAAAAAGGGACATCACTAGAGATCCTGAAGACATTAAAAAGGATAAGATACTATAAATAATTTTTGCCAATGAATTTGAAAATTTGGATCAAAATAGACAAATTCCCTGAAAAATTCAGTTTACCAAAACTGACACAGAAATCCAAAATTTGAATAACCCCATATCTATTAAAGAGATTAATTCTGGAAAAGGGAAAACTATAGAAAACAGATTCGTATTTGCCGGTCTGTGGGGAGAAGAGGCTGACTACGAAAGGGAAGAAGGAGATTTGGGGGGATTGATGGAACTGTTCTGTTGCTTAATTGTGGTGGTAGTTACATAACTGTATGCATTTGTCAAAACTCATAGAACTGCACACTAGAATGAGTGAATTTTACTGTGTATCAATTATAATTTTGAAAACCTCACTAAAGTGTGTGTGTGTGTGTGTGTATGAAGAAGAGGGGACAGGTAGGATTTTATTAATAAAATTATTCCCACAATGAAAGCTACAGGATCAAATAGCTTTATTGGTGAATTCTTCCAAACGCTTTTTAAAGAGTCATAGAGAAACTTTTACAAACAACAGAAAAGGAGAAAACGCTTCCTAGTTCATTTTATGAGGCCAGCATAACATTTATTTTAAAACCTGACAAGAACACTACAAGGAAGGAAAATTACAAATCAATCTCTTTTATGAACATAAATGTAAAATTCTAGATAGATGTAAAAATTCTAAAGAAAACATTAGCAAATATAACCCAACAATATATCTATAAAGGATAATACTTCATAACCCAGTGGGGTTAGTGCAAGGGTGGTTTAATATTAAAAATTAATCAGTGGGAAGGAGTAAAATTATCTTTATTTACAGATGACATAATCTTTAATGTAGAAAACCCTAAAAGATTACACACGTACACACACACACTGTTAGAACTAATAAACAAATTCAGCAAAGTTGCAAGATACAAAATCAACACACACAAAAATTACATTTCTATGCACTAACAATGAACAATTCAAAAAGGAAATTAAGAAAACAATTCCATTTACAATAGCATTAAAGAGCCAATTCAGTAAAGCAAAATTCGAGAAAAGAAGAATAAAACTGTCATTTCTCACAGATGACATGGTAGTATACATAGTAAATCCTAAAGAATCTACAATTAGAATGAATAACTGAATATAGCAAAGTCACTAGATAAAAGGTAAATATACAAACATTAATTGTATTTCTATGTATCAACAACAAAGAAATAAAAATGAAATTTAAAAAAGATACAATTTATAATAGCATCAAGAAATGTCAAATACTTAGGACTGTCTAAGGAAAACTTTGCAACCTCTGCACTGAAAACTACAAAATGTAATT